ACTATTAATTTGCACATAGAAGTTATTGCTAAACCATCGACGATATTTTAATTTGATTGTTTTGTTTTTTGAATAAAATTTATAACGCCAATCGAAAAGGAACCAAGCGCCAAAAACTTTTTCTGGGCTTAGTAAAATTATTTGTAAAATAACTCATATTTAATAATGCTCAAAAGGTTAATCATCATTTGGGACTTTTCTCAAAAGGATTGAGAAGGATCCCAAATCATTAATTTTTTGAGCAGCATCAAAAATGAGTTATTGTGCAAATAATTTTGTTTACCCCACAAAAAGTTTTTGGCGCTTGGTTCCTTTTCGATAAACGCTATCCAAATTAGAAAAAAAAATAATTTGGAGTTTTAATACAATATAGTTTAAAAATATTAATGTGTGTGTGAGAGAAAGAGAGAAAGAATCGTTAAACCATTTTTTTTTCCGTAAGACCGAGCGCACGTCTCTCGGAACCGCGCGCCGCGGCGCTGCTACGCGTAGGCTTGGATCTGTAGCGACGATTTCACATGCATTTCTTACAAAAAAATTCATAACTTCTACAGTTTTTGAGCCCCCCCAAAAATAAGTAGTCAAAATTTGCGGAAAATTTAGGGCTATCATCATGATGATTTTTTTTTTAATTTGAGGTGGCGTTTTTTGGGAATTTAAATTTAAAAAAAAAAATTAGATTTTTTTTTGAGAATTTTTTAACAAAATTTTTTTATTTTTATTTTATCTTAAAGAGCGTCAAAAAATATGTTTATATGATTTTTTTCGAAATTTGTTGTCTCTCGGGTTTTTAAATAATCGAAAAATAAGAGAAGTGACATTTTTTTGTTTATTATGTAAAACCTACAAAAATGCATAAAAGAGGTTGATATTTTAGATTTCTCCATTACTTTAGTTAGTCTATCGACCCTGAAAATTTGAAGCAAATCGGAAACATGAAGTCTTACTCTTGGCCGATTTGGCGTGGACTGACCCATATATACAGGGTGTCTCACCAGCGATGGGACCTTAGACGTTTACGGAGAACGGCTGAGGATATCAATTTGAAATTTTTATAGCAATTATTATACAATTTAATCTACCTTTTAAAATTATTTTGAATAAAATTCCTCTTCCGGTTTAACCGGAAGCGACATCAACTTTGTTATTTCCAATGGAACACCCTGTAAATTTTTTTATTTTTAAATTCCTTATGAAATTCTTAATGAAATTGCTGTACCATTCCCTATACCTAAACTTAATTGTTTTCGAGTTAATAATTTTTTTCGTAAAATTTTGACAGTTGCACCTTCATTAAAAATTGCTTATAACTTTTTTGATATTCGGTTTGCTGGTATGTTGTAAGGATTTTTGGAATCTTAAAACATTGTTTTAAAGATTCCATGTCTGAAATTTTCATATTTATGATCAAAAGCCAGGGAAAAATCGTGGTAAATTTGGTTAACTTCAAACATTAATAACTTGTTTATTTTCAACGGAAAGTTATGCATGTTTTTACATAATCAAATAGGAATATGAATTACATTTCGATTGGTATAACCATTCCCTATACCTAAATAGTAAGGTTTCGGTAATACAAGGAATGGTACAGCAATTTCATGAGGAATTTTATTCAAAATAATTTTAAAAGGTAGATTAAATTGTATAATAATTGCTATAAAAATTTCAAATTGATATCTTCAGCCGTTCTCCGCAAACGTCTAAGGTACCATCGCTGGTGAGACACCCTGTATATATGGGTCAGTCCACGTAGTAAACCGACTATTTTTTTTTACTTTGTACTCTGAAAAATCGGTTACTAGACAACTCTAGAGAATTCTCACCAAACATGAGCTCTTAATTTTGATAACAAGGTCCTCCGCTTTACAATTTTCCATTTTCTCCTCAGTATTAGAAACAAAAATTTATATCTCTTCGACAACTGTTCGTTAAAAAATAACTCTCTGCATTGAAGTTTGAAGATGAATATCTTTTAAACGCTTAATTTAATCGACAATTCATAAGAGACCATTTTTGTAGAGCAGTTAATCTCCTACAAAACTATGAGTTGCGCGATTCATAAAATTTTTTTGTAAGCGAGTTATAAAACTCATAAGCAAAACAGAAATTTCTCTTAAACTTTAACCTTCGATATCTTTTTAACGGTGAGGTTTACGAAAAAATTGTAAGAGACCTTTTTTGTAGAGCGTTCATTTCCTACAAGAATATGAGGAGAGTTATTTTTTAACGAACAATTGTCGAAGAGATATAAATTTTTGTTTCTAATACTGAGGAAAAAATGGAAAATTAAGAGCTCATGTTTGGTGAGAATTCTCTAGAGTTCTCTAGTAACCGATTTTTCAGAGTACAAAATAAAAAAAAATAGTCGGTTTTTTTGACCCACCCTATGTATATACAGTATGTCTCAGTATCTTGGAATCATATGGAAAACTTTTTTATTATTAATTTTAGGAAAAAAAGTTATTCCTTATAAAAAGTTCTGCATGGTGTAAAACTTAAAATGCAACTCACAAATATTATTTTTTTTTAGTCGTATACGGGGTGTGTCAAAAAATATGAATTTGGCTCAAGAGTAAAGTACCTTTATATTTGACAATATCGAAAATTGTTATAAAGAAAAGTTAATCAGAACTAAAAACTACGTTCAAATATGCAATTACATCCATTTACATTAAAAAAAAAATATTTTTTCTTTTTTGTCTACAATATCAATGCAAATTTAACTGTAACATGTAATCTAGGATTCACTGATAAACAAATGATTTGTTGATATTCTAAAACTTTTTGGCCTGCTAGATCCCCTGACTTAACTTTTAAGTTTTACACCATGCAGAACTTTTTATGAAGAATAACTTTTTTTCCTAAAATTAATAATAAAAAAGTTTTCCATATGATTCCAAGATACTGAGACATACTGTATATATACATTTAATTTTTCTAGTAAAGCTAATAATATCCCTATTTAAAAAAAAATTGTTGGAAGATTATATATTTTTTAATGTACCAACATGTTTCCTCCGCTAAAGTACCAGTCGTACGTGTTTATTTTAGCGCGTCCAATTGTCATGAATGTTTCTTGTAATGCTATTATGTCTAGGTTTAGTTGGGATAATGTGTCGTCAATTATTTCCCTCTTGTCTGCTTGCCTACAGCCCCTTACGATGTGTGTGCCTATTTTTATAATGTGTTGTCGTGTACTGTTGTCTAAACTTATCATCCCGTTACCGGTCGATTGTGTTTGCGTATATTCACCGTTACCGCAGGTTCTTATGTTGGTTATGTTTCCTGCCTGTTAAGCAAGGCTTATGTCAATGTTGCCAGATTTGTACTATACTTTCGTAGTGATTGTACGTTCCTGTCTAGCCTAGTCTGTAACAAATTGCGATTGACCGGTGCACAGAGCGGTATTTTGACCTAAAACGTGGCCAAAAATATTTGGGCACTTTTTCTTTATCAAAAGGGTAGCAAATGACCAAAAAACATATTTTTAAAGGTATACAAGTGATATTAGGTACTTTTACTATAAATTAAAAAAAAGTATGTATTCACAAATTTATTTATAAAAAAATTATAAAGTAGCTACTTACATGCAAGTAATGCAATAAAAATATTTAAATTAAACATATATTAAAGTTTTTGTGCCCTTTAAAAAATAAAAAATACATCCATTTACCTAAAAATCTTATAAGATCGCACTAAAGTGTCTGTTTTCAAGGGTATATTTTTTCGTGATGTGGAAACATGTGGATGACTTTGATGGCTGCAATTATTCTAGATATCCTAAAGTTTAATAAAATGTATTGCGGATGCCGTTGCGAGGTGTTGCCGATATTTAAAAACACCATTGTTTGTTTAAAAACGAAAAAAATTAAGAATTTCTAGGTAGTTAATTATAGTACTCGATATAAATAAATAAAGTTTATAACACAAATGAAATATTGCCTAAAATATTGTACATACCTTAATTAATGACATCCATATTAATTTCTTTCACCAAAATCTCTTTTAACATAAGATTCTTATGATAAGAAACAACACAGCAAAAATTTGTTTTTTTGTGGAGTGTAGCGAACGAAGACCTACGATGTAAAAGAGCGCTAGGTTCTAGCTGCTGGTACATCGGACTGGGATGGCCAATTCAAGTTTCAACTACGCCAAAAGATAGCCATGTTATCTAACTTCTTTAAAACAAAATCTTAGATCTGGCAATAAAAATTAACAAAATTGATTTTTGGCCACGTTTTAGGTCCAAATACCTGTCTGTGCGGTTGTCGTTCTGTCTGAAGGATATCTTGTCTTTGCCCCTCTCGATTGCGATGTTAAATATGTCCGATGCTGCTATTATTCTTTCCAATCCCACCCAGAAACTGTTTTGTGAGTTTTACGTTCCCAGTCAATAATATGCGCGTACCGGTGGGGTTGGTCAAGGATCGCATCCTGTACATATGGTCTGTATGTCTATATGTGGGTTCTGATGTGGTAGTTCAGTCTTTGACTTAATGCTTGTGTACTTCCTATTGTTGACCTAGTCAGGCTATTGTCTAGTTGGTGGGCTAAGCTGGCCACAAAGCAATTTCCGTCGGATAGAATTTTAATTATGCCTAGTGAGTGATATATCGTATTGACGATGTCCATGTTTGTTTTGGTTTGGGTTTATTAAGATTTATGGCGTTTATTTTTGGTTTTAGTCGAATGTTTATTTGGGGAATGATGCTAATGTCTTATGTCTGCCTTTTTCTGTTTAGTTTATGTATTGATTTATGGGTTGGCTATCCCTATAGGGATCTGTTTGTTTTCTGATGCCAGATGGGGTTCTTGGTAATTTACGTTGCGAAGTATATTAAGTTTTACGTTAAGATTATAGATTAGAATAGAATTGGTATTGTTATTAGTACATGCAAATAGGAAAATTTTTTAGCTGGAATAATTAGACTTGAAATCCTGATGCATATTATTATTATTATTATTATTATTATTATTATTATTAAATGATTACTTACTGAGTGGGGGATGTCTACTTTTAATAGTATATGCTGGGGGATTTATTCTATGCAGGTTACCAATATCTCCAGGGGAAGGAGTTTTAAATTTGCTTCCTACGTATCGTCTAGGTTGCATTGACCAAGCAGGATTTTGGTATCTCGTAAAATCATGTTTTTTGGGTTTTTTGTGAATTGCTCCAATAACAGGGGGAAGCTCATATTTGTTTGGCCCTGGACCTATTGTTACACTGCAATCTTAAAGTATATAGAAATAAGTTAATTTTAGATGGATATTTTTTTGATCAATAGACCAAAGTTTTTGCTATTCTTACTTGGATTCTTATTAGCTTCTCCCTTCTTTTTCTTATCTTCTTTTTTATCCTCTGACATTTTTATGTTTTTTATTACTTATAATTTTGATGAGTGAAATGTATTAAATGAAATTTTATGAATTTTAAATGACAAACATGACAGTGGTTTGGTAAATTGATAATTTATTTCTATTTTAACGTCAAAAATGAATGGGTTAGCTAATGCAAATAAACCTTTACTTAGCTACATTAACCTAGATACCCTTTATAAATGCATTAACCCGACGCTTGTGTGGTGAACAATAATGAGGAGTGGGGTGGCAATCACAAAAATGGCTGGACCTTTTTTTAAGAAAATTTAATAATGAGGAGTGGGTTGGCAATCACCCAAAACTTAAAATGTTGTCAATATTTTGTTTATGCGTAATATTTGTATATTTTAAAAAGAAAAAAATGGCTGGACCTTTTTTTAAGAAAATTTGTCATATATCATCTAATAAAAATATTATTGCTACACTGATTATAATTACCTTTATCTTTAAACGTTCTAAAGATTAAATAATTGTTCTCAATACTAAAGTGATTGATTATGGTATGAGCACATGATTCATGCCGATTCGATAAGAAATTAACTAGCGTTTTACCGCCCAGCTAAGTGGTTATAAGGGTATATTTCAAAAAGTTGGCCACTTGCTGTCCTTTATTTTCGTAACTAAAATGAAATGTCAAGAATAGATCTGATAAAACAATCCTTAGGCTCTTTAAATTATGTACAAAATCTCCCAATAAGGTATTGAAAATGTATTAAAATTAGTTTGAAATATAGTAAATGTCTAATCCGTGACTGTCCCCAGCAAAGATTTATGAACTTTACTGACTGCTGGAAAAATATTGTTTCTGCCACAATTCACACAATAAGGTCTGTTCGATCTCGTACTAAAAATACTAAAAATCACTGCAACACTGCCCATCATACAATGGCGGCCATTTTTGTTGTTTACAATTCTTGTGCTTTGGGTTTGTATACAGATTATTAATCGTTTTAAACGAGGTTTCTTACAGAGAGACTTGCAAGCCTTAAAATAGACCTCAAAGTGGTAAGAACAATAATTTTACTCCTCTTTTGTAAAAATAAATTAATAAATGTAGACCTACACGATTCAGTATAATTTAATTTAAAAATACACCTTAAACATTTCTTTTGAAAAATAAATAGATTATGTGAGAAGAATTTCCCCAGAACATAATTTCATATTTTAGGTTAGAATAAATATATCCATAGTAAACACTTAAGGCGCATTCATGCTCACTAAAATAAGAAATAAGAAATAAGAATAAAAAATAAGAAATAAGATAAAAAGTTAAAACTGTGTAAAGTAATGGTTGCGTTCATGCTCATGAAAATAAGAAATAAGAAATAAGAATAAAGATTAACAATTTTTAACTTTGGTTCTTATTCTTGCGTATAAAACTGCGCAAAGAACCAAAATGGGTCTGTGAATTATTTTGATGGGTTTTATGTGCTGGCCATGGAGCCATGGTGTTGGAAATCGCGTTGAGTGTCGCTGTCGATTGTTTACGTTTATAGCCAATATAATCCACTACAATAAAATATAATTTTGTGACAACATTTTTTATTTCTTATGTTATCAGCATGAACGATCAATCGCGATCTTATTTCTTATTTCTTAAGCTTAATTTTCATGTATCCGTTTGTCCGTCATCCGTATGTCAGTTTTTCAATGAAAGAAATGTTCTAATTTTCATGCATACGTTTTTTAATGACGTTTAACGGATTGATTTTGCGACAAATAGAAATTAAGTGTCAGTATATTCACTTACTAAATTTACCTAATGCTTAATTGTCATAGTTACAATTATGACAATAATTGTAACTTTAACAGTTAGCTGTCTAATAAATTTAAAGGTAGGTAAATATACCTTATAAAAAGAATATACTAGTCCTAATACACATTAAAATGTATAGTTTTAAAAAAGCAGGTCCTTTTAGTTCTAGTTTTAATTTTTTTTGTCCTTTCTTTTTTTCCGTTAACAGTAAAACATTATTCACATAACGAACGTAATATTTTCGTTTTACAATCTTATTGAAAAAATATAAAAATATTTGAAAATAAAGTATCTTAAAATAACGTTAGGCGTCAAAAACAGATGTGTAGTGACGGATGAGTAAAAATTATTTAACCTTTCTCTGTCAGACGTACAAAGTTGAAACTTGACGGACCGATAAAATAATAATAATAATAACATAATTTTCGAATTATAATTGGACTGATAAGAGCGCTCCCGGATGAACGGACTGACGGACAAACGGATACATGAAAATTAAGTTTTATTCCTTATTTCTTATTCTTATTTCTTATTTCTTATTTTAAGTGAGCATGAATACGCCTTTAATAAAACTTATTTTTGTACAATAAACTTTAAATTTTGAAAATAATGGTATTAATTAATATTTTTTAAAACATGTTCTGTATGATATTTCCACGAAAATTTACTATCCAAGACGAGACCCAAGAATTTAACTGATTCGCAAAATTCAATGGTAAAATCTTTTTTGATGTTTATTGGCGAACTACTTAAAAACCCATACACCTCAAATTTTATATACTGTGTTTTTTCCACATTTAATTTTAAACCATTGTCTTGAAACCAATCAAAAATGATTTGATGTGATGTATTAATATTAACTATTAAAGTTTCTAAGCTTACAGAATTAAATATTGCAGCAGTATCATTAGCATACATATATATTTTATAATTGAATCGGTGAGAATAAGAACAGTACATGTCCAAATGTTTGAATTTTGAGAAAACAAAATAAACTGTTTATTTTGTTTATTAGGATTTTTTAGGTTTAAAAGTACAGACAAGCTGTGGTGTATAAGTTTAGACGTCCATTAAACTAAAAATATTTTTTTTATACCACGTGCATGCTTTATTATACACAAAAAATAAACTTGGACTTGTACTGTTCTTAATCTCTAAAATTTTGACACAGAATTCTTATAATAATCTTTAGAATTTTGTTTTAGAATTGAAAAAAATAAAACATCACGATGTGGTAAAGCATTTTTATAGATAAAGAGCATTTTTTTTAACAAAAAGCATTTTTTTTTATCAAAACGGAATTTATTGAACAAAATAAACATTTTTATTGAACAAAAATATTAAATAATCAATTTTGTATACCGGCATCATCATCCGTATTAGTGTTTGGCCAGGATGTTACATGGTGGTAAAACTCTAGATCTTCTCCCTTGATCTACTTCATTATATTAAAAAAAAAATTTATATCATTTATTTTCTTTTCATTACATGGTGGTCCAGAATTTTTTTCCAAATGTAGACATATAAAACTCACCACGCTGACGTACAAACTTTCTGTTATTAATTTTTCATCGTTCTGGATTTTTCCTATGTCTCTATCATTTTCGCTACTATCAGATGATAACATTGTTGTATTTTACACTGAAGCAGAATAAAATACCAACTGACAGCTTTCATGAGCATGACCACCTTAAACTTTTAGTAGGTATATAATGTCCATAATTAACAACAACATAAATGCATTTATTGGGAATAAGAACAGTAAAAGTCCAGGACTTGTACTGTTCTTATTCTCAATGCTTCACAGTTAGCTCTGACAAACACCTTAACAAGCCGATTTTAAAAATGTTCTTCTACTTCTTCGTTGCTGCTTCGAATTTAAAACAAAATGGCTATTTCAGATGAAAATGTCAAATTTTGGACTTGTACTGTTCTTATTCTCACCTATTCAATTGTTTGTAACTTTTTTGATTAAATCATTAAAATATAATACAAAAAGTAAAAGTCCAACTATGTTGGAAGTAAATTCCAGACCATTTTCTGATAGCAACTTGACTAATTGCTTTCTATTCGACATATATGAAGACAACAAGCTTAAAACAGGCCCTCTTATGCCATACTTTTCCAATTTAATGCAAAGTAACTCTTTATCTATACTGTCAAAAGCCTTGGACAAATCAAAAAAAGCAGATATTGCCAAGGTTTTGCTATTCCATAGGTTTAAAGTATTACCAATAAAATGAAATATAGCCAATTCAGTATTTTTACCTTTAATAAAACCAAATTGCTGGCTGGAAATTATATCATATTTTTTACAATAGTTCATTATTCGGTTTGATATACAAAGTTCTATTATTTTTGAAAAAATTGGTAATAAGCATATTGGTCTATAGTTGTTTATATCGGTTGCTGATTCCTTGACAACAGCCATTTTAAGAATTTCTGGGATATACCATTAGTCCAGTCATCTTAGCATTTCACCTCGGAATCTAACGGAATAAGCTGAATTTTTGTACAAACCTTTATTTTAGCATTGCAAATGTTGTCTCAAAAGTCACATATGAAAACGTGTAAGCGGCCTTAGATATTCAAGGTCAAAGGTCGCAAAAATCAATTTTTTGAGAATATCTCCTTTTCTCTGCCTCCTATCGTATTTGCATTTATTATACAAGTTGTAGAGAATAAAATTCTCTAGAAATTTTGTTTAAATAATTTTTTTATACGTCTAATCGTTTTTGAGATAGAGGGCGCAGAGTGTGGAGCGCTCAGCCATACGTACCTTTAGCGCAAGGTAAATCATGAATCCCAATCTATTATACCGTTTGTTTAATTAATTATTTGTTAAATATTACTTAAATAACAATTTAAAACCTTATATTTATTTTTATATATTTTTTTAAAACAGATAGTCATTAAATATTAGTTACTTTTGACATACCTACAAATAATTAAATAATGAAGTGAATCATTCTAAATATATTCTAATGTTATTCTAATTAATGAATCATTAATAATGATAAATGCATTTTAAGAAGAAAAGACATTAAATGAATTTGCCTTGAATATGTCTCTGGTCATCTCTTGGATCCAGATATTGCTTTTAAAATAACAGACCTGGAAATACTATAGCGGGCTTGCTATAAATAAAAAGGTTAGGTATACCTATATTTAAAGCAAGTTGTGACCCTAGGTATAGGTCTAGGGTTGTGACAGATAATATTCGTAATATTTTAAAGGTTAACATGGCTGATTTGTGTTTTATTTGTAATAAGTTACTTTCTGTCAGAAAGTTTCTGAAGGTGATTCTGTGAC